CCCCCCCCCCCCCCCCCCCCGCCAAAAAAAAATTTAGCAAGGTATGGAGGCACAAACAATGAGAGTTACAGATACTTGGGAGGCTGACGCAGCCGGATAGCTTGAGCCTTGGAGCCATGACTGTGCCCCTGCACTCCTGCTTGGGTGACAGAGGAATATCCTGCCTCTGAAAACAAAACCAAAAAATCCACTTGGTTGTTTTTTCTCTGTCTCTCCTGGCTCTAGGGTGTGGACGAATGGAACATAGCTCGCCTGAATACGGTCCTGGACGTGGTCGAAGAAGAGTGCGGGATTTCCATCGAGGGCGTCAACACCCCCTACCTCTATTTCGGCATGTGGAAGACCACGTTCGCCTGGCACACGGAGGACATGGACCTCTACAGCATTAACTATCTCCACTTCGGAGAGCCCAAGTCGTGGCAAGTCATTCGTTTGGTCCTTACTTGCTTTGGGCTTTTGAAACTGGGGCACTGTGCATCTACTGAGGAGGATTTTGTTCTTTGGTGTGTTGAATTCACATCTGTGTGCGCTGTAAGGAAGCTTTTGACTGTAATAATGGTCTTTCACTCTGCCCGAGATTTTGCTCAGAAACCATGAACCTCATAGTAACATGTGCAGTCATGGGCCACATGATGGCATTTAGGTCAACCACAGACCACATACACCGAGGTGGGGCCCCGAGGTTAGAATGGAGTTGAAACATTTCTGTTCTCTATGTAGATATGTTTAGCTACACAAACTTGTAACCATTGTGTTACAGTTGCCTACTGTGTTCAGTACAGTTACATGCTATACAGGTTTGTAGCCTAACCCAAGCTAGGTGCACAGCAGGCTCTGCCATCTGGGTTTGTGTTAGTACACTCTGTGCTTTCACGCAACCATGAATTTACCTACCAGTGAATTCACTCAACAATGCTTGTTTTTTTTAATTTTTTTCATTTTTGAGTCAGAATCTCACTCTGTCGCCCAGGCTGGAGCGCAACTTCGACCTGCTGGGCTCAGCCTTCCAAGTAGCTGGAACTACAGGCATGTGCCACCATGCCCAGCTAATTTTTTTTTTTTGGTTTTATTGTAGAGATGAGGTCTCGCCAAGTTGCCCAGGCTGGTTTTGAGTTCTTGGACTCAGGCAGTTCTTTCGCCTCAGCCTCCCAAATGTGCTGGGATGACAGGCATGAGCCACCTATCCCAGCTATGCTTGTTGTTAAGCAACTCCTGACTATGTTGTATAAAGTTACCTATACACCATTTTTTGTGCCGTTAGCTTAGTTTAGTCCTGAGAATTTGTTCCGCGTCTTTACTTCCTTTAATATTTGTTTGAGGGTTGTGGGAGGTAGTTAGGCGTGAATAGGCGGCTTCCAGAAGTAGTTTCAAGCAATCTTAATGACCTCTGGTCCCACCTCCTTTAGTTAAATGACATGTTCTGCTAGGCGTGGTGGCTCACACCTATAATCCCAGCACTTTAACCTGGGCAACATGGTCAGGCCTTGTCTCTACAATAAATAAAAAAATTAGCCAAGCGGGGCGGTGTGTACCTGTAGTTCCAGCTACTTGGAAGGCTGAGACAGAAGGATTGCCGGAGCCCCGCAGGTCGACGCAGGGGTGGCCATGAGTGTGCCACTGCTCTCCAGCCTGGGCGATGCAGCGAGACTCCAACTCAAAAATAAAAAAATAAAAATAAAAAAAAAATTAAAAATAAATGCCATGTTCCTTTCAGTGTGGTGTGGGCTAGAGGCAGAAAAGGGAGGCATCAGGAGCCCTGTTAGCACTCCTCCGATGATGTGTGTGTGTGGGGGGGTGGATAAGAGTTAATGCTATCACCTGTTTTTAACTTGGTATTGTCTGTGTTTGTGAGCCTCTTTGCTTGTCTTCCCGAGCAACGTTTTAAGAGATATCTCTGCAAAATGCACCATCTGGTACTTTGGCTACTCATTTGTAATTATTAGCCTGTCAGTCGCCCTGGGATCCTCTGTGCTTGGGTAGTTTCGTAGTTCAACGGTTTCAATTGTTTGTAGTCTTAAGAGAATTGACCTCTCAGTTGTATTTTTTATAAGACACGAACATCCAGGGTAGCCCAAAGATGTTGGTATATGAAGCAAGCTACTTGACAACTCAGAAAGTATGATGTTTTAATGGTTGGGAACATGACAGGGTGATTTTCAGGTGTTTGCACCAGGCCAGTAATGCTCCCATTTCAAGATAATGAGCCCTTTCAAGTCCTGCTGTGGATCAGGAGTGGAAACACAAGGCAGAGAATCTGTCTCCCTCTTAACATTATGTCCTCTTGAAGTTTTATCTACTGGTAACGTGTGAGGTTGTAGGCTTTCTCCAAGAAAATGTGAACATAGCAAAGTTACAATGACATTTAACTGGAAATAAAGTTTTAGTTGGAATGGCAGAGATCCTATGACATAAGAGAAATCTAGGCAGTTCCTGATTTGCTGTGGAGTTTGGTGATCTAAAAAAAGTTCGTGGGAAGCTGTTAAGCTTACTTAAAAGATGCTTTACTTGCATATTGCCGTTGACCAATTCCTAGTGTCTGCTCTCTTAATGGAATAACTGAACTTTTTAATAAGTGGTCCAGGATGGGGAGAGGCCCTTGTGACAGAACGCTGTGGTAAGACTGTTCATTGCTAAGGTGTTTATTGTTGTGAGCAGGCTTATGACCCCACGGGTCTGGTTTTCATAGTATTTCAACACAACTGTAAAGTCAGTTGGAATGTCCTTCTTTAGTACTTTAGGGATTTAGCTTCGAGAGACTAGGAGAAACATTTTAAGCAACATATAGGCTTCTGGGCAGTTTCTCAGTCACATAGCTATCTCAGTGCTTTCTGATGTTTCCTTTCAGTGTGGATATAACTAAGTGACATGGATGAATTCAATATACTGGTGAAATCTAGCATATAGGCCACTATATACCATATTTTGCTTAAGGAATCTAAAAGTCAGCCACAAAACTCTTATGGAGATTGATTCAAAATTATCTAATGAGGATGTTTCAGGCGTTCATGTGAGTTTTTAGTATTAGGAAGGTTTAGATGACCTTTCTGTTTTCTTATGAAGAATGATGGTTGTTTCTTTTTCTGAGAACAGGTTGGTGTTGTATCCTAGCAATCACTGACGTGTAAGAATATTCTGGACAAAGATAAGACTGACACTGGATCTCATGTCTTTGGGAAAGAGCACCACTGTTCACGAGTGAGAATAATTATGCTCGTTTCCAAAGCATTTCTTTACCATAGCATGTGTGTTTTCAGTTGCTATTACTCTATTAGTTATTAAGCACATAGACTCCATTATATGCATTAAGGGTAAATTTATGTTATCACTCTTATCCTGAACTTTGACTATTTATAATGACAAAATGATAAAACATATCACTGAGTTGTGCCAGCGAATCTACATTCCATTTTCTAAGATGACTGCTGTGGGAAAAGAGTGATCTAAATGGCTCTAAGGATATTTCCCCATCACTTTATGAAAGATTGTTATTACTGCAGCATCAGCAATTCTGGGGGAAACTCTATTGTCATTAGAATTCACATCAGTGGTCATCATGATGTGTTTGAGACGAGCTTTGAGAGGCATTAGAAGCGATGCCAATTCACGCCGGCGGTGGCGGGTGGGCGGAGAGTGTGGCAGAGCACAGACTCTGGCAGTCCTCGGGTCCTGGTCCCTTCTCTGCGCCAGTGGGTGTGGTCGGGGCAGACATTAAGAACTCCTTTTCTGGACTCCGCTTTCCTTACGGCCTAAATCAGAAGATTAGTTAGAATGATCTCCAGTGCTCTAATTCTGGGATTCATGATCCGAGAGGCAGAGTATTTTTATTTTCGTTAGCAAACGAGAGGATGACGTGGGGCGCAAGGCTCTGCGTGTGTCTCTGCGTGAGTGGCCGTGGGTCTCCTTGCTGAGTGGAGTCTGGTGTTCACTCTGCCACGCGGCCTTGGCTTTTCCAGGGTTGGCCTCCCCTGTGCTTGACACATCTGTTGCCACAATGTGTCCTCTTCCTTGCTCTGGCCTTGCAGGGGCGGTCCGTGTCTAGGCCTTCTTCTTCAGTTCTGCTCTCAGGTCCCAGGTTCCAAGGGTGATGATTGCCAAGCTTGTCTACCATGCCCTGCTTTCTTCCAGGCCCATGCTGCTCTCATCTGCCAGCGCATCCCTTGGCTTTTGCCTGAGGACTCTCTGGACCACGTGGTGTCTCCAGTTTGGACGTCTATTTTTGCCTCTTACAAGTGGTTGTTGCCACTTCTGACCTCAGCTCCCTCCCCGTCACCAAGTTGGGGCACTTGCCTGTGTGGGCCTTGAAGTGCAGTCCATGCTTTTTTGTCTTTGAATCGTAAGCACTTGACACACAGCGCCTGGCTATAGGGTTGATGCCTTATAAAGAATCCTTGTATGAGGCCGGGCTCGGGGGCTCAGCTTTCATCCCAGCACTTTGGGAGGCTGAGGCAAGTGGACTGCCTGAACCCGTGGGTTTGAGACCAGCCTGGGCAACTTGGCGAGACCCTGTCTCTACAACAAATAAAAAATTAGCCGGCGTGGTCGCTCTAGTTACTTGGAAGGCTGAGGTGGAAGGATCGCCTGAGCCCAGCAGTGCCACTGCACTCCAGCCTGGGTGACAGAGTAAGATTCCAATTCAAAAAAAAGAAAAACAATCCTTGTAGGGGATTAGGAGAGTGTTGAGTTGATTTGGGTCAGTCTGGTTAAGGGCAGGCAAAGAAACATTAGGACATTTGAGAAAGATTCTTGTCTAAAAATGTAACTCGTAAGCTGTAAGAATGCCCAGTTCTGAGATTTCTCGGAGCTGCAGGTATGTGCAGTGCCAGGCGGAAGCCCCGAGACATCCCTTTCTAGCTGCCATGTGGTAGGCTTGTCGAGTAAGTATTTGTGAGCACAGGTTTGCATTGAAGAGTTGGTAGGGCAGCTGGTGATTTATTTAAACATTTCTGACATAAAGGCTTCAGGGAAAAAGAATCCCTAGAGCAAGCAGATAGATAGAAAGCTGCTTGACCGTCAGTGATAGAGTATTTATTTTCTTGGAATGAATATTGACTTTCGAGCCAGAAGTCTTGTTTTAAAATCCCAATCTGTCACTTACTGGCTGAAGGATTTAGGGCAAATCACTAAACTCTTATCATGAGTTTCTTTCCCTGCTGAGCGGAGGCATGATTTATTCTCTGTCGACATATAGGATTTCTAGGAGGACCAAGGGATATACTGCATATAAAAGTGCTTTGTAAACTGTAATGTAGTATACAAATATTCATTATTACTCTTTATAACTGTATGAAAATAACCTATTTGCTGGTCACAGTAGCTATGAAAAACCTGAACTTGCCATGATGTGTCTGCATATAATAGATGGAGTTTCAAGGGTGAATCAAATAGGGCTCTCCTTTCCTAGCCTCATACGTAATGATGG